TCTTGGTGGCGACTGGCGACAGCACTTCAGAAACGCTGTGGCAGTAGTCGGGTGAAGGGGCTCGAAATGAGCTCGAGTTCCTAGTGATATTCCGGTGGGCATTTTAGTGGAAGCGAATAAAATATCGTTTTATTTGACATGTTTCGGGTTAGCTTCTATTGTGGAAAGAGAAAACCAAATAATTTCCGAACCTTGAAATATCGTGTAAAAATTTGGTGCCAGTTGTTGATGAACGTTAAATACTTAACACTGCTGATATGAAGTCAAGCATGATAAAAAAATTCTGTAATTTTACATAACATCTTAGATACGAAGATCATTTCATTCTATATAAGTGATCTAGTAAAATAACTACGAAGTTCTTTCACGCCAAGAGTATTAATTTTAATTTGAAGTTATTTTAATGCGCCTTTCTAATTTTGAAAGACAAAGAAAAGAAAGCAGTCAAATGTTAATTTATTGCAATAGAGTAGGACACGGCTATCACAACATACCAATTGTAGCCCATCAGCGTCCAGCTGTACATATATGTCGCCTTTAAAAATGTTATTTTTTTTTTGTTTATGTATGAAGCTCATCGAACCAAATATTATCGCCTTTAATTTCAGACCACGCTGTAATTAGGTGGACAATTACATAGCTGTACGTCACCAGTTAATTTTTCACTGAATAAATTTCAGCTGTATAAATTTCACTGAAATTATTTCAGTGAATAAATTTCAGAATAAATTTCAGCATTGCTGTATTTTGCACTCGCAAAAACATTGGTCGTTCAAAAGGACTAGAATGATGTGATCCGACCTTGACTCTATATTTTAGTTATTATTTTATTTTAACTTTTCGTTCTTTGTTCGTTATTTTAGCACGAATTTAATTACCAATACGTGCCTTTTCGGGTTTTTATTTATGATACTTTATATATTTCACATACGTATATTTGGCAAATTTTATGGATTATTTTCTGACGCATTTATATGATCGATTGCCATGATCCGACCCTGACTCTTTAATTGAATAGAAGTGTCGGAGCTGAATAAATAGGCCCATGGCCTGTTCCCAATTTTTGTACTTTTAGTGACAAGATTCGCAGGAATTTTCGACGTATCCTTCACTGTATTATAAACTTTATGTCATAAGCATACATGGAGCACACGATAGACTGTTTCTGTCCGATCGTTTAAAAACGCAACGAATGAAACAGGCCAAAGAAACTTCATTAATTGCGACACTCCACTGTGCACTGTTGCCCAGTCTGATACGGACCCATTAATACTGACACGTTGTCGTCTCCCTACTAGAAAATCTCTGCTCCATTTGAGTACAGTCAGTCTGTACTCAATTGTACAGTCTGATTCGCCCTGTCAGTCTGACAGGGCGAATGGTGTAACTTGAGCTTCTTTCCAGTCGGCCGGCAAGATCCCTTCGTTCAAGGTTTTTTTTAATATACTGTCAAAGAGCCGGCTAGGACGGTTGCTAACTCTTTGAGCAATCTGGGGTGGAAGCAGTCAGGTCCACATGACTTGTTAGGATTCAGAGCCAACAGGCACTTGAGAACATTTTCTTTTTGTACTTCAAAACTTGTTAATTTCGAGCCTACTGAGGGCCCTTCAATAGCTGTAATGTTGCATAAGCCTTCATCTGTAAATGCACTGCTAAAGAACTGATTTAGAACGTTAGCCTTGCCCTCATCAGAGGATATCTTTCGTTTATCTACTTTCAAATCAGAGATACCTTGTTTGTCCGGCACTCAGAACTAGCGTAAAAAAAGAAGGCTTTCGAGTACAGTTTTGCATTTTTCTGCAATATATATCTCAATGTTTTTCACTGCAGTGCGACAGCTTTCTTTAGCTTTATATCGAGCTCTTGTGTATAGATTATAATCAGTATCACTACGAATCTGTAAATATTGCTTGTAGGCTTCATTTTTGGTTTTCCGCTAAGCTAGAACTATACTGTTCTGAGTCTGTTCATCCACTGAGTTTCTTTGAATCCACCGAACCTATATTCTTATTGCAACTTTTCGACGCCCCGACAAAATACGCCCCGTTGACATGCGTCAACTGCAGACATAACCTTGTCCATAAGAAATGACCATGACTCAGCCACATTAATGTCCGTAATACAGTCCGATATATTCACTGCATTCAATGCTGCACGGAGTTAATCATAGTTGCCTTTCGCAAAGTTCTAACGCTCACGCTTTCGAGGCGTCTTTTCTGTACAGCACTCGATAGTAAAAAACAATGATGGGCTTTTGCCCAACGGGGTCTCGTGGCGAAGCTCATCTAACATTGATTTTTTAACACTAGTAAACACTAGGTTTAATATATTGGGAGTCTATACGCTCATATAATGGGTTGGCATGATAACGTGCTAGAGCCTTGCCGCAACACTCAGTAATAAACGTAGAGTCAGCAGTACGGGAGCGCAGAACTAAATAAGGTTAAATTTTCTTCTTTCTATATCTAGAAACTCACGAGTGCTTTCGCTGGCAAGATCTGAGATGACCTCTTTGCGGCCCTTAACTTCTGTTTTATCGCACTTTTCTGTTTTGTTCAGACAAGCTTTCATTTCCACCAGCTCGTTCCGGAACGAGTTTAATTCGCTTCGCAACGCGCTCAACTGTTTTATTTTATTTTCTTCTATTTCGGCCCTATAGCCTGAGAACATAGAAGAGCACTTTTCTTCCATTAAATTTTCGCTTTTTACTGCACTAAGTGCAGGCTGCTGGCAGTCCTGACAATACCAAAGTACTGTCTCGTTTTTGCGAATAATGGGGCACCCTGCATTGCTCAGCTTCGCAGAGCTGTTGCAAATGAAATCCCCTCAACGATCACAGGCGACTATAACGTTAATGTTAATACACAATTTGATTATTTTTAATTTCTTTATATTTATAACCCGGTGACTTTGATTATCAATATGTGTGTTTTTACATCGGTATTGTTATCGTTACTAATTTCACAAATTTATGTGCCCGCTTCATATAATTTTTTTCAAAAATATTCAAGAAAGTTGCTGCAGCGGCTAAGCGCGACCACTAGTCTCAAGCGCCATGTTTGGTGCATGTTCACAGCCCTCGTGGCGCCACTTTTTCTGAACCAAACTTGATGCCAATCTGTGAGTGAAATTTTTTACTTTTTGCTGTAATAATTATCACAGGAAAAAGTAAAAAATAACACGATAATTATAATCATCGTGTTTCAGCGTACACATAACACGATGTATCGTGAGTTGAAAGAATTCTCTGAAATCGAGAGAATTAGTTAATGATGGGAGGAGAAAATACGCCTGGGGACTTATCAACTCAGTACTTCGTAAAAAAATTTTAAACAATATATAGCCGTGCCAAAGTTGATGTATGCTATCATACGATATGTGTTATTTCTAAAACATAGGATTGATTTAAAGTTAAACTTTGATGAATTATGGATATGAATTTATGGTAGCATGAATGTTAGAAATTTAGATGCGAAAATACATTCATTAAATTAAATTTTTGCAATAATATTTCGTATTATTAATTCCAATATATACGCTTAAAAACCAATATGAAAAATGCATGCATGAAATGTGCACACCTACTATTAAAAAACACTACTAATCTTACACTTAATATTCGTAACTTGCACTCAATAAAAAAAGTATAACTCAGTACTCACTGCAGTGAGTGACAGAGAGCGCATTTTCTCGTCGACGAAAACGTGAAGTCACGGACGGACCGACGGACGGACGGACAATTCAAGCATTCATTTAGTCACGAAAAAAAATGCTAACGCGTGAAGCAGTAACAGATTATTTGTTATTTAATTTACTCAGGGTTAAGAGTTAAAACTCGCGCGATTTCGGCCCATCTCATGATAACTTCACGATTACAGAGTTGTATTCAGGTCAAAATCCTAAGCTGATAATAAATAATGTATTTCAGAGCTGTGACAATGTCATCTTATGCAATAATATAATGGACACAGACTATCACGTTCTGCATGCTCGCATGCTTCATCCCATTGCAGTTGCAGAAAAAAAACTTGAAAGAAACTATTTGACCTAAGAGCATTCGTTTAATTTATGTCTTCGTATCATCGAAAAAATTTTTGCCGTCACGGTTTATAATAACATTCTTGATCGAATTTCAAAGGGAGTATGCCACTTCATTGTAAGAATATACAATGTATATGATACCGTGTGAATAATCTTGCATATATATTCAGGAAGCTGTGAACAGACTTGGCACTCTGAAAATAAGTCGGATGATAAAATTGTCATTTTCCGGACGATGATACCTGCATGGTAATTATAAGCAGACTAAATATTGTTAAACGAACGTCTTTAAACGGGGAAACTAAAACCTAATAGTCGATTAATCTTGACTAAATCAGCAATCGAATCGAACGTTAGAATGGAAATTAAATATATGATCGAGTCGCAGCTGTTCGAATTACTTGAAAGTGAAACCCTAAATCTATTTGTATCAAGAAGGCGAGGTTTCTTGAAGAAAAACGTTGCAGGGGGAGATAATCAAAAGTGAACTTTATTAGTTAACCCTCCCTGCAGCGGTCGAAACTGGTTCTTTGGCAAGGGAACATGGGACGAATAAAGTTACGTTCTAGGTTATAACCTAGTCAAAAAATATAACTCAGTACTCGCTGCAGTGAGTGACAGAGAGCGCATTTTCTCGTCGACGAAAACGTGAAGTCACGGACGGGCAGACGGACGGACGGACGGACAGATATACGGACGGACGGACAGATATGGCGAGCACAATAGTGCATTTTTTCCATAAATGAGAAAATGCGCTAAAAATTAACTAGCGAAAGGTATCATCAGTAATGGTGAGGCAATAGATTTCATGTTCATCGACCAATTCAGGTAGTATTCAGAAGGATTAGTTGGCGTTACTAAATAACAAATAAAATTAAAATATGATTGTTTCGAAAAATACATGTTTGCATTTTCCCCTCATAATTATGCCAATTTTGAAAATTTACAGGACAAAGATGAAGGCATCTATGAAATTAATTTCCGCTGTTCTTCATATTTTGTTTGTTCTTCATTTGAGTTACGTGCGTGCATTTAGTTACGTGGAAGATGAATTGCTTCAAGAAAGCGACCTGTTCAAACGTCTCCAAAAATATCAGGTAACACTTGCAATGAAAAAATTTTTAATAAAACTTTAAGTTAGTATCAGATAAGTAGCGATAAATTGTCGCATCTTCGTGTCTTTTTATTTAAAATGTAACAAACTGAAAAAAGTGCTGCTTATTGGTAATTAAATTTGTTCGAACTTGAAGGAACTTTTGTCTTTTCCCCTTCAATTAGAGGGCTTGTGGTCCTACGCTCATCTTCAAGTAAGAGCGTAATTTCATTTTTGAATATAAGGTGAAAATTCTGAAGATATAATACGATAAATGTAAATTTTGCGAATTTGTGTATGGATTTTTTAGAATGACAGAATCGAACAGCGGATGAGCAATTACTCAAATTAATACAAGACACAATATTAATACAAGACTCAAATTAATAATTACACAATATTCAAGATTATGATAAAAAACAATTTTTCAGGACTTGGACCTCCACCACAAACCACTCGTGTCTAATAATGTGGTAGCAAGCGATGCCAGCAAACTACGGGACAATTTACTTACTGAGAAACGCGACGCCATGAGGCTTCCTACTAACATCGTTCCCCATCATTATCATCTCAGCTTGCAGGTGAACTCATCTAAAAGTGCTCTTGGAAGTATGAATTTATCTGGAATGTGGTGTATGATTTGAAGAAGGACGTTTCCAGAGTGTTCTTATTTGTACCTTGTGCTAGATATAATGATATATTCATGAGTATATAGAATCAATAGATTTTATATATTATGAAACAGATACGTGGTTAAAAACTTTGTTATTTACGTTGACTTGTTTGTTATAAATAAGGCAAAATTCTTTACAATCAAAGTCGGAACGCAAACGTCAGTAACTACGTTGTAAAGTTGCTCGGTATCTCCAAGTCCGCTACGACAACAAATTTATATAAAATGACGTGCTTACTGATTAGATATATTATTCTAATCGTGGAGGTATTAAAAAACCAGAAGAGGAGGAAGAAGTTATTGTAAAAAAAATAACAGCTAACAGAAAAATATGCTTAATATATTATTGAACCTTCAGCTATTTACGCTTACAATTTTTTTTAATATGAAAAATCTTTGACCAAATTTATTTGTACCTAGTTTTCTAATCCGTTTACGCCTCCAATTTCATTCTTAATATGCAATTTTTGACCAAATTTAGTTATACCTAGTTTTAATTGCCATTTTTCCGGCTCAGGTGTACCAGTTCATTAACGGGACATTCCTGGGCCACGTTGACATGGACTTCCACGTGGAAAAAAGCACGCGGACAATCGTGCTGCATTCCGCGGACCTTACGCTGCCTCAGCACGAGATGAAGGTTAGCATGAATCCTGAATAGCCATGTTGAATGCTGTAACTAGCCATGTTGAATGCTGCAACTAGCAGTGTTGAATGCTGCAAATCATAGCGTCATGTTATAAGTTGAGAACTATCAAGGGCGGTAGGCCTACCTGGCCTATTTTTTCACGCCGATGTTGCTATGTTATATCTAACAGAACGCTTCAAATATTACCGGTTCGTTGAATTATAGCCCCATAACTGAACCAATACGGCAAATTGTATATTCAAACTAAAATCTGAGAACCACGTAATACACAACACACAAAATTAGACGGTAATACTGAATGATTTATAACTTGGAAAGCCCAAAATAGTCGAGAGATTTTCGTAGATGTATTAGAGGAAAATAAATTACATATATGCCTTCATCTAATGTTAAATGGCTTATAGAATAATATTTATTTTTCATGCCACGAGTGGCTAAGCTCAATAGTTTTGTCATTAATATTAATCTCAAATGAGGTGTGACACATTGTAATGTTTTCCCGATAGTTTAAGGAATTCATATGTAATGCTAATTCGGAACGTCCTAGACGGGAGAATCAATGAATCCTAGACAATGAATCTCAGAAGTCTGACTTTTTCGGGTTGACAAAAACATGAAAAATGAAAAAGTGTTTAAATTCGAACAGGTCTTACAAGCCATCATAATATGAAGTTACAATTCCTACAACAGAGTAAAATGCATTTCATTATGAAAAATTGCCCTTCATTCAAACAGTAAAAACCAGATTACATCGATACAAACTTTCTTAAATTTTACAGGTGATAGGTGTTCCAAACCATAGTATATGTATAAAACTTGAATTTGAATTTCCTTAATTTTCATTCAATTTGACTAAAATTGTTAATCCAATTTACTCAGATTGTTATTTAAATTTACTCATTTTTCTAATTGAATTTAATTAAATTATCATTTAACTTTACATGAATTTTTATCTAAATTTGCTTAAATTTCTATCTAGATTTACTTAAAATTTCTTTTAAATTCATCTAAATGTAAATGAATGTGACATGTGACTGACGGTACGAACCAGACCATACAAATAAAATCAAATTTATATACATCATCATTTAAATTTACATAAAATTAAACAAATGTGACATGTGACTGACGGTACGAACAAGGCCATACGTTTAAAATCAAATTAATATACATCATCATTTAAATTTACTTTAATTTAAATAAATCGGGCAGGTGACTGACCAAACGAACCAGACTATGCGTAGAAAACAAATAAAAAAATAAATTAAAACTTACTTTAATTTAAACAAAATTTGACAGGTGACTGACGGAACGAACCAGACGATACGCATCAGTGACGTCACTGCTATACCAGACGCAGAAATGCTGAACTTGACGACAGACAGCACGCTGCATCCCGGCGTAAATTACACTCTCACTATCCACTTTCTAGGAGCACTTCGGGACGATGGGTTCGGATTGTATCATTTCGGATACTTCGACGAATCCACCCATACCGTCAGGTGACTATTTCTGTTTGCAGCTTGAATGAATGATACGTTCATGGAATAAAGCTACTCTTTCTTTTGTGTTAACCGAATTTGTGAGACATATTAGATAATGTTAACATGAGTAAATTTCATCACAAGTCGATATTACGTTTTCTGGAGCTCGGTCTGTGATGTGGGGAGATTTTAAGATCTCACTGACATAGGCAGGACAGATTTCAACAAATCGTGCGTGTTATTAATACTCAAGAACAAACATGTACTCCGAAAAGTTCGCCGCTAATTTATTTTGTCTTGAATACCGCACAATTTTTCCAGTCCATATTCAGAATAATATTCCACGATTCAGAATAATATTCAGCAATATTCCCCGCTTCCAAGATCGTTCTCTATAATTGTTTATATTTGTACTGCATTTAGTATTATCCCTTAAATTTGTTTTCGAACAACGCGAGATGTTGAACAAAATTAAGTATATATCCTCTTACATCTTGTCTATAATCGTATTGTTGTAATCGTCTCACCATGTTACTTGTTTACTTTAAATAGATACATTTCTCACTTATGCAAGTTTATTCTCTCTTAGAGAGATAAAGTTACGCTTCTGGTGAACTGAATAAATAGTTACTCGATATATATAACATGCCGTGGCGATCACAACACTATTCTGTTAGATTCTCATGAAAACCCAGAAAAACTGTTAATATCTAAGTAAAACCTTAACAAACTTCTAATGTCTTAGTAAAACTCAGAAAAACAATTAATGCCCAATTAAAACCCACAGAAAAAAGGACATTAAATACATTATACATTAAATTATTCCGTGTCCTTTAATTCTTATACATAATTAAAGGACATTATACATTAAATGCATTTATTAACGCCCCCAAACAGGATAGTGGTGGGCACTCAGTTCCAGCCGACGCACGCTCGCTACATGTTCCCCTGTCTCGACGAGCCTTCATTCAAGGCGCGATTTTCCCTGCGCGTCGCCAGACCTACAAACAGCACCTGCATCTCCAACACACCGCTCAGCGTCACTGCTCCTTTGTAATTAATTAGCTATTGAGCAATTCAATCCTCTGTAATTAACTCGCTATTGATCAATTCAATCCTTTGTAACTGACTCACTATTGATCAATTAAATCCTTTTAACTAACTAACTATTGATAAATAAATCATTTGTAACTAAATTATTGATCAATTAAATCCTTTTAACTAACTATTGATCAATTGAATCCTTTGTAACTAACTCGCTATTGATCAATTCAATCATCTGTAATTAACTCGCTATTGATCAATTCAATCCTTTGTAACTAACTCGCTATTGATCAATTCAATCATCTGTAATTAACTCGCTATTGATCAATTCAATCCTTTGTAACTAACTCGCTATTGATCAATTCAATCATCTGTAATTAACTCGCTATTGATCAATTCAATCCTTTGTAACTGACTCACTATTGATCAATTCAATCATCTGTAATTAACTCGCTATTGATCAATTCAATCCTTTGTAACTAACTCGCTATTGATCAATTCAATCATCTGTAATTAACTCGCTATTGATCAATTCAATCCTTTGTAACTGACTCACTATTGATCAATTAAATCCCTTGTAACTAACTCACTATTGATCAATTAAATCCTTTGTAAATAACTCACTATTGATCAATTAAATCCTTTGTAGTTAACTCCCTATTTATCAATTCAATCCTTTGTAACTAACTCCCTATTTATCAATTCAATCCTTTGTATTTAACTCACTATTGATCAATTAAATCCTTTGCAATTAACTCACTATTGATCAATTAAATCCTTTGCAATTAACTCACTATTGATCAATTAAACTTTTTGTAACTAACTCACTGTTGATCAATTGAATCCCTTGTAATTAACTTATTGATCAAATAAATCCCTTGTAATCGACTCATTATTGACAATGTCAACCCCTTGGCACTGATTTACAGCCGACAAAGTTTAGCCTATGGAACTAACTCGTTTATGACGAAGTCAACTTTATGTAACTAATTTACTATCGACAAAGTTAACTATTTATTACTAACTCGCTATTAACAAAGTAAATCCTTAGTAATTAACTCGCTACTGACATGTTCGCCATGTTTGTTAACTTTCGACAAATCTTTTTCAATCAAAAAGACTATCAGTTCATTCGACAGAAATATTTTCCAAGCATATGCTAACATTTATATCTAATTTCTATTGAATTATTAAATTCAAACTATTAAATTCAATTATTAATTCAACTATTAAATTCACAGTCTGGGCTTCCCGGAGTACGAGTGGGACGTATTTAAGACAACAGTAAAAATGTCAACGTATTTACTGGCATTCGTCATTTCTCAGTTCGAGTTCCTCTCGAAAAAAGTCGACGGCATCGAGTACAAAGGTAAAATAGCATTTATTTAATATTTTTAGACATAAAAAGTAATTCAAAATATAAGTAACTTTAATCTGTCATGAGATCTGTCACTTTTTACTTTTGGTCTGGCCGCTGTTACTTTACTCACTCGCCTTTTTGAATATTTAACGAATTTTTTAACGACAACGAATTTTTGAATATTTTATGAATAATAAAAAATCTGTAGCAATTTATGTATATACTAGTCTTCCAGCTACGAAGGGCCTTTTGAAGACAGCAGCCGAATGAATTATATCTTTATAATACTTATTTAAGTTATTATAAAATATATAAACGAACTTTGCAGTGTTCATGAGGGACGAACACTATCTGGAAGGCCAACACGTTCTCGACAAGACGCCCAAATACTTAAACTACTTCCAGAACTTCTACAAAATTCCTTACCCTTTGGAGAAACTGGACTCTGTGGCGTTGGATACGATGGTGGCTGCTGGCATGGAAAACTGGGGACTTATAACATACAAGTGAGTCAAGGGACAAGCGAGTCAAGTCTACAAGCGAGTCAAAGGACAAATGAGTCAAGTCTACAAGTAAGTCAAGGGACACATGAGTCAAGGGACAAGTGAGTCACAGGACAAGTGAGGCAAGTCTACAAGCGAGTCCCTAAAATCACAAACAATCCAGTAGATTGACAATGAAGAATTCAAACGACGTCAATTGCAGAGAGAATCACTTTCACGATGATGACCGAAGTATGTTAAATGGTAAGAAGTCGACGTAAATTTGTTAGTATGGGATCCACTCGACTCTTTAAATATACTGATTGATGATCGCTATGCATCGCTCATCGACTACAGAATAGCGTAAGTCTACGACGTTATTAAGTTATTGCACTTACGTTATCGGACATATCTGTTCGTTGTAGATTTATAGGATTGTACGTGATTTTGTGCACTCTTAGTTATTTTGATTCGAAAGCCGACTGCCTCGATAATCGACACTCCTTCTAAAACAGATGAATGTCGAATTCCTGGATTTCACTGTGAATGACTTAGTTGCATGGTAGCTAATCTCTGAAAATAACTAACAATTGATGAACTAATAACTAATAAGCAGAACTTGTTGACGTTGGTTAAACTTTTACACCAAGGATTTACGTGAACTAAATTTTGTTTATACGTACGTTATCTGCTCATAAATATTTCGGTGAAGAGCAGAGACTCATAACTCTTATGCTGCCTTACTAATGTCGCCGGAACTCTTTTGATAATAATAATAATAAAAGCTGTTGAATATTACGCACAACTCAAATTTTTCTTCCGAGCAGCTCGGACGCAGTGAGAGTGACGAACGCGAGCACCTCCCGGCACCTGATAGCATCGTCGACGTTGATCGCCCACGAAGTGGCTCACCAGTGGTTCGGTAACTTGGTCACTGCGTCGTGGTGGTCAGGCTTGTGGCTCAATGAAGGATTTGCCACCTACATGGCACTCAAATGCATTCAAGAAGTGAGTAAATCCATTGCCAGAAGAAAGTAACATTACAATAGATTTTAATTTAACTAAGTTTTACAACGTGTAACGGGCCAACGGCACATCGTACTTAAAACGGATTCTGTGAAGAAATCATATCACTAAATAATTCAGTTCGATCGACTTTGGGAATTACAAAAAGATTCTGTAGGAACAAAGTATTCAACGCGAAATTGGAAGATTACAGATCTGTGATGCATTTACACAGTGTATTGAGACTCATGCACGTACGAAACTTCTTGAGGAAGCAGCTACTTTTTTTCTGTCACGGAATTGTGGAGGTACAAAATTTGTGCTATAAATAACGTGTAAATGGCTAGGCTTCTAAGCATTTACTTTACAGGTTGAACCGGTTTGGGACGCCATGAAGCTCTTCATCAGTGGTCACCAGATGACGGCGATGGAGTTGGACCAGACACAAATGTCAACCCCGATCGTACGAAACGTTTCATCCATCAAGGAAATTTCGGCCACTTTCAATCCCATCACTTACAACAAAGGTTCGATCCTATTCACCCACAAAAAATTCAAAAGCTAAATTCTGTTTTTAAACTTTATTCCACTCTAATAAAAATAATGTTTTTTGTTGATAATTCAGACTTGTTATAATTGTAGGTGCTGCCCTCATCCGCATGATGGACCACTTCCTAACCGAAGCCACATTCCAACGAGGAGTGCGGAACTACTTGAATGAACTGTGAGCACTGGTGTTTTTAGGCTGACATTTAAATACTATATGTTAGGCTGACATGTATATACTATATGTTAGGCTGACATGTATATACTATATGTTAGGCTGACATGTATATACTAAATGTTAGGCTGACCTAACCTCAAGAGAAATGAAAATTTATATCATTTTTGGAGAGGACTAGACTGGTGGGTTCCAGAAAATACATGAATGGCTCAGATTGACTCTAACGGCTCCTTGGTCACTCTATAAAATCTTGAGTTCTAAACCTATCTAATGCTCCTCCTATTAGCATATATACAAAAAATGCTATAAATTTGATATTATCATGCATACCTATGCAAGAAGTTTATGTTTAAATAAAATTAACATTACGACGATTTACCTTTGCCATCACAGCAACTTTTCGAAGAACCAAAATAAAGATTTCAATAACAAATTTTCAAAAATTTATCTTGATATTGGAATAAATTAAACAATTACGTTAAATGTTGCAACATAATTACGATTTTCTGATAACTAGGAATTAGAGCTGGAGTTTATCTGATATTTCTGAGTATTAGATTTGATGCTGACGATAATTCGTTAATTTTAATTTTTGCTCTGCAGTAAATATTCGAATGCCGAGCAAGACGATTTATGGAGACATCTAACAATAGTGGGTCAAGAAGATGACACGCTTCCACCAGATGCCACAGTTAAAGATGTAATGGATACCTGGACCTTGCAGAAACATTACCCAGTAGTCAACTTTGTGCGCCATCCAAATGGTTCTTGCACAGTTTCTCAGGTGAATAAGCTACCACTGTAAAAATTACAGTGAATTCGTGAGAAGTTTATTGTGCTCATTACCATAGGATAACGGAGTTTTTCTTTTATACAAATTCAATTGAAGACCGAAGAATGCGTTTTGTTTAGGATTTTCTTAATAGTTTCTCTAATGAGTAGAACGATAATTTTTAGTACTGACATTGGTAGATCGAATGACATTTTGTCTTTCAATGCAGCTTTCCGGATTAAATTTTGTGTATTGTAGATTACTCACTCATCCTATTAACTAATATCGTGATATCGGGAATTAATTGTTTAGTCCCTAAAGAATTTGAAGGAACACATTACAGTTTTTATGAGCAATCAGGAGGCTGGTCCTCTGCAAATGTAATAAACTTCGCCCCCATTCCACTTCAGAAACAATTCTCGGATTCGAGAAACAGTTCCTACCAAGGCCTGTGGTGGATACCAGTATCCATCATTACCGAAGGATCCATTGACATGGAAATGACCACTGCAACCATTTGGATCCCACCTTCATCCAAAGAAATGTTCGTAGCAGGTTTACCAAATTTGCCGCGATGGGTTCTTCTGAACAATAAGCAAGCAGCTTACGCCAGGGTAAACTACGACTATAACAGCTGGATGGCTTTGGCTCGGCAGCTGAAACAGAATCACTCGATATTTTCTGCCATAACCAGAGCACAACTTCTCGATGATGCTTACCATCTCTTCACTCTTGGAGGTGAGACTTGATGCGCTAGGTTCAGGGTAAGCTTGACCTGATGGTGAATTAGAAATCAAATCCTCATATGCTCTTTATTATTGAAATTGTGTTGAATTTGAAAGCAGATAATGTGTTGCTAATTGGTCATAAATGTGTTTCAGAATTAAAAGATCCTGACGTGCTATTCACGTTGATGTCGTACTTGTCCAATGAGGAAGAATACTTGCCTTGGCTCATTACTATGAAGAACATGGAACAAATTCACCAGCAACTACTCAATCAGCCTGAGTTTTTCGAGTTAAAGGTAATTCTGAATGTACAAAGTGATAATTATTATGAACAATGTTCGTCATGAATGTAAAACCGAATGAAGATATTTTACCAAAGTTGCTGGTTGTATTGTGAATTAAGATACACTTAAATAAATATTCGATGCTGTAAACATATATTGCCTGTTTTTCTTTCTGTTCGCAGGAATACCTTTTGAAGTTGTCGGATAAATTATACTTCAAGTTTGGGCTAGACCGGGAAAGTCATTCATCTTTCCAAGGCTTGTTCAGCTTACGTGCGCAGAAGTGGGCCTGTGCTCTGGAGAAGATGGAATGTGTACGCGATCTGCTAAGCTTTTTCAATGACTTCCAGGCAGCAAAAGATATTAGGTAATTCAGACATTAGTTAAAACATTCAGGCGGACATGATATTCGGTCATTATCAATACAGTCAGGCAATTAATAATAAATTCACGCAGACCTGATATTCATTCATTGTTAATACAGTAAGGCAATTAAGGGGAGCGTCTGCCCAAAAATTTATCTTGGTTATTTACAGACAGATTACTCTGAAACTTGGTACACTTATGCAAAATAGAAAAAAAACTCGCTTTTTGTTCATGTGAATTTTTCGAAAAAAATTGAAGAAAACGTGAAATTCTTAGAAAATAGCCAAAAAGGGGGTACTGTAGAAATGTATCTAGTTGATTTTCAAGCTTCAACATCGAGACACATATTATTCGATGCGTAAAGACCATATCTCAAATAGTACCATTCGGTTTTTTCGAAATTCAAATTTTTGTGGGTGTGGGGGCATTTCTCGTAAATTTTTCGGAAATTTTTCAATTCTCCCCCCCACTCTCCCCTTTTTGCGGAATAAAATTCAAACTATGATGAAATTAGAAAAAAAGGCGATAGTACTTTTAAGCTTTTTCAATGACTTCCAGGCAGCAAAAGATATTAGGTAATTCAGAAATTTGTTATTAAATTCAGGTAGACCTGATAATTGGTCATTATCAATACAGTCAGGGAATTGCTAATAAATTCAGGCAGACCTGATATTCACTCATTGTTAATACAGTCAGGCAATTATTAATTCGCGCAGGCAGACCTGAGAGGTCTCACTTTTCTTGTAGCGTTCAAATTTGCATTGTCCACCACCTCCTGAAAATGCATTTATTGATAAGTTTTGTAAAATATAACTTTTTGGCGAGTGAAGCTAAAATCATTATGTCGCTTACTTTCAATGAGCTCTGCGATGAGGATTCCTAATTTCTTCTGAATCAATTTCTGAACTCGAATGCCTGAAAATAATTAAAATATATAAAAGTAATCTGTATTTGTGGACAGAGTTGTTCCTAGTCATCTTCGGTCCTCCGTTCTGTGCACGGGAGTCAAGGAAGGAAACTCAACTCTGTGGCAGTCGCTCTGGGCCGACGCGCTGGCCATCAGGTTCGACTCCAGGAACAGATACGCGCTCCTCAAGGCACTCGGCTGTTCCAAGGAACCATGGACTTTAAAAAGGTTAATTTCAACACTCAAATCTTGTGTTGTGTGACAAATTTTAGTTACTGTTCAGTAAAAAACGGTTTTTATCATTTCAGTTAAAAAGAATTCAAATTTATGAAATATGTCAATTTTTCTGTGTGTTGTAGATACCTACAAGAAGGGTTCAAGAACCACGATTCCCTCGGCACTCCTGGACTCTACACGATCGTTAATGCCGTATCCCAGAACCCAATAAGTCACGACTATGCTTGGGACATGATAAAAAATATGTCGCAATTCAAAGAGAGGTAATTATTCAGAGTTGACGTAAAGCAATTGGCTTGATGTCAACATGTGAGTGATTAAATAAATTTTTGAACAACCCACCTTGACGCGAGCAATGTGCTTCATTTGAATATTCAGTGTACTCAACTATCTTTATATAATTTGAAGTATTTGCCTTACCACTTTGTTTGTTCTAATATGATTTTAATCATACTTAAATTTAGGAAATATTACCATTTGAATTATAATGCAATTGGATACATTTGAGTTGATTGTTAAGTATCTGAAGAATCTGTCGCGTATTTTACTTAACTTAAATATTCCTTTAACCACACTTAAATTTATTTCATTTATCTCTTTGAGTCATAAAGCAATTAGTTCAATACGAGTTGAAAGTTACGTTGAATCAATACGCTAAAGCGTTAATTCCAAACAAATTTTTAGAAACTAATTTTCGCTCCAGGTTCGGTTTTTGGCCCCTGAAAGCTTCCGTGGCGAAAGTGGCAATTTCTTCGCTCAGTCAGAGAAGACACTTGACGGAGGTAGGTGTTCAGATTTCAGAGACAAAATTTAAAAGAATTTATTAAAACTTATTTTCTGGTAAGGTAAACTTTTATGTACACTCAGGGGAATGGTCCCAACAGTTATGAACTTATTGCTCTTGTATGGTTTATCTGGCCTAGTTTCCTAGTTTAACCCTGCAAAAGGACGTATATCGTAAAAGTGTGTATATACGTACGTAAAGTATGTATTATATCTACGTTCTGGAAGTGGAACAATTAATATTTGACAGAATCTCCATTTATATTTCTGTTTGAATAATTTGTATTCTATACAACCTGTTTATAATAATTATTCTATTTAATAAATTGTTCACCTCGAGCAGCTTGACGAATTCCTCGAAGCTACGGACTATACTGACGACCAAAAAAAGAAGCTCAGGAAGCTTGTTTCGTTCAACATTGAATGGCTGGAGAAGTTCCAGGCTCCGATATCGAATTGGTTCTCGAAGCAATATCCGTTCGATGATATTAAACCTGAACTGATGCGACCTCTGCCTAGGATGTCTAGTAGGTCACCTAGGAATGTTAAAATACAACTCATCCGCCCTGACTCACTTTGACCACATCGCTGACTCACTTTGACCTGACTAATTTTCACCGCTCAAATGTCTCACGTTAAAAGCTTAAATGACCCACTTTAACCGCTCGAATTACCCACTTTGACCACTTAAATGACTCACTTTGACCGCTTGAATGACTCATTTCTGACCGAATCAATGGCTCACTTTGACCGTTTAAATGACTCACTTTCACGATTTAAATGACTCACTTTGATCGCTTAACTGACTCACTTTGACCGCATCACTGACTCACTTTTACCACATCGCTGACTCACATTAACCGCTCCACTGACACACTTTAACCGCATTACTGACTCACTTCTACTGCAGCAATGGCGAATCAGGATCATCAGGATAACCCGTTAGTTGGAGGCTAGTGCAACCTAATGGTTCAGCAAGTCTAAGGGTGAGGCTGATAGTGTAGGTACTTAATGTTCATTTCATCAAATTGTTCCTAATCATGAATTGCTATTTAATTACATCTTTCAATTTCAATATTTAATTATGTCATTGTTGTTTTCTAAGACCATAGCAAATAAAAAATAAAGGAATTATTAATATGCATACATAGTTTTCATGAGGAACTTTTACGAGTTAAATCTGACAAATTTCAAAATAAATTGAAACAGTTAATGTTGAATTAAAGATCGACCATGAATTGCGTCGCAAATAAGCTTATGGTGCTTTCCATAATAAATATATAATTTATTCCAACGAAGTTGATTACTTGAATTGAGTTTGGAAGATAAGGCTTAAGACTTATGCCTAATTTATATAAACTATTTATGATTTAAATACTAAAAAAGATGAAAAAATAATATAATATTATTTAAATATTTAATAAAATAACAATGATTAAATGAAAAAGTTTGAATATACCTTACACTGCGGACTAATTGATTACTTGGGGAAGACGTTGACAATTATCTAATTGTGTTATAGGAATTGAGACGTAACGCTGCCAACAAATATTCTTTCTATCTAGCCATTAATTGTACAGGTATACCTCAAGCCATTGATTATACAGGCCAACCTCGAGCCATTGATTATACAGGCCAACCTCGAGCCATTGATTATACAGGCCAACCTCGAGCCATTGATTATACAGGGATACCTCGAGCCATTAATTATACAGACATACCTCGACTTCCCAACACACTTACTTGCTCCTACGAATATGTCTCTGCTTGCAAACCAAATGTCAGAACCAATTCGGTGCTTACGAATTTAATTGTGTTAATACACATTAAATATCAATATAGATTCCACATACGAATATTTCCTCAAACGAACACAGTCACGGAACGAACCAAATTTCGCAGGTCGAGGTATCACTGGACTCTGACGACTTATCAACCATAGGAAATTATGGAGTTAAGAATTATATATCAATATTAAAGCCTTCATGTTGAAATGTATTCCCTCTCAATTTCAATTGGTTATTTTTCTTGGCTATCAAACTCCTAACGATCTAATTCATGAAGTGACATTTCCTGGTTAAAATTTCAAACTTTTCTATCAGTTTTTCTTCACTTTAATTATAATCAGTTCTTCGATGGTCCCACTTTTACACAAAAAATTAATAAACCTAAGCTAACTTACGTAACTAAAATGCCGCATCAAATAAACTTTGGAAATAGGAAACGTGAAAACATCCACTGCATCAAATCTGAAAGAAACCGACATGAAAATTTTATTTCGGGTGCAGCTTAGGTGCAGTGATAACTAAAATTTTGTCAGATGATAGCAGTGGCGTGACAGCGTCTAGTCTGAGGGCGACGGGAAGCGTGAAAAGCATGTGCAGAACTTCTTCTTCTTCATCGTTTTTAGAGTAATGAGGTCTGCTCTCCACTACAATATCTCTGTCGCCCACCGCCTTTATTCTGATGTCTTCAGTGGCGTAGCCGTGGGTTGGAAGAATAATCTGCGGATATGTGCCAAATTAGATAAAAAGTGTATAGAAAATTAGTAAATCAAGTGCATATATAACATAATTGGAATTCTAGACTAGTATTCCAAACTTCAAATTGAGTCTCATCACATTTGAAATATGATCATGAAATATATTTTTCGTGCATGTCTTAATATAACATAAACCATGTGTTTCAGGTCTCGACATCTTCCAAGACATAAAAATGCTTGGCACAAAATTAAACACATTTTACACCGAAATATCAAACAGGAAATTCCGTGACTTTAATTCCCCAAACACTCACATAGAATCTGTCGAACTGTTCAATAACTTCGCTGATTTCTTCGACGACATCGTCTCGTCTGAGCTCCAATTGTCTCTGTACAGGCGACTGGTCGTCTCTGCGAGCCTTTATTTCCTGCAATTCGCTGAGCTGCCGAACCTCTTCAAAGACATTATCATGCATGAAAAGACCTTTCAGTTTTACAGACGGATAAAACATCACGCATCCTCTGCAGCTATCACTGCCAGTACCACAACACGGCGGTATTTGTTTCTTTGTAGACACGAAGTTAGGTAAGGAACTGCCGAACATGTTTATGCAGTCTCCAGGTGCCATGTCTTGCGGCTATGTGGTTTGTCTGTAATTAAAAAAATTTTACATTTGAAATTTGAAATTACAAATTCGAATAAAACACTGGAATGAATTTTTTAACATCTTTTTTTACGAGAGAGAGAAAAAAACTTATTTTACAACATTGGAATGTATTTTTGAACATGGTTTTTTACGAGAGAGGAAAATCATATTTTTTATCAAAAGATCGATGACAACAGAACAAGATGGAATGCAATGGCAAGCGCAACAAATAAATACAATGAGACTTGATTAGTTATAATTATTTTAATACAATAGCGTCTATTGTAGGACAGGACGTGTAGGAATTTGAAGGCATAATTAATTGCTCAGTATAAAATAAATAATTCATAAATTAGCCAGTATTACGTCAGAAAATAATTATTTGTTATACAAATCACAAAACTACATCGCTTTATTTCATTACAAATCTAAATCGGTTGACTGCAATCTCGGCAATTACATCACAGGGACTGATGAAATTACAAAGCTGAATCATGCAAATTTATGTTAAATAATCCTAAAAAAATTGAACGGATATATAATTTGCTTTGTAGGTTCTGCCATTTCACAACATGAAAACAATACGTAGGAGCTGTGTTCAATGGCATACCTAAAAAAATAATAAAATTAAAAATGAACTGAAGATAATTTGATAGGTCTTACCAAGTCATTTAAATCAATAAAAAATGCATCATGCATTTTGGTGCGCTATGAACCTAATACTACTGTTACTACATGTTCAAGGAATGGATAGTCCACAAAATAAAACTGAGTTAGTATGTATAAAAATGAACAAGAGAAAATAATTTATCCAACATTACCTTGTTGAAGATGTTTCCCACTATCAGTGTTGATTTTTCACGATAATTTGCGGCAGCTCTTAGAATGAATACAGGCGTTGAATTTTCACTTGTTTGATTTGAAGAAACTTGGCTATAGTCTAAGAAATCCTCGACGTTGCAAATGAGAGCTGAATTTTTTTTTAAATCTCAAGCTAAAGCGAACTTTTTAGCAGAACTTGTCAACAAAACAGATTGAAGGAACCGAACTCACTGAACTACACTCGACTACTGACAACGTTTGCGAGCGAATGTTGGCTGGTGCAGACGAACGCGGTATTTATATGTGGCGGCAAGGAGGCACCCGCCTCGGCATGACGTCATTTAGGTGTGCGTCATGGAGCGGTACACACTTTTCGCCCACGCTAACGTTGGTTCAACCGAGCTTACCGGTTTGTTGAGTAATGACGCATAATTGTCGTGTGACTCACATTGCTCAGAGGTTACGTCGAACAAGAACTAATAATTTTGTTTGCTTTGATACGAGACTTAAAGATAATGTGTTGAATAATTGATTTGAAATTTTTAACCTTGCTTCATGTTGATCGTGTTATCGTGTAGAAAGTAGGAATAAATGGTCTAATAATTGTAAATAATCTAATATTAAGCCCGGATGAACGATGCTCAAAGAAAAATAAATATCTTCAATGTTGAATGTAAAAGTGATATTGTGGAACAATGAACGTTTCTTCCATCGCCCCCTCTTATTATAAATATTAGTCTCGCCAGTTGTTCGAGGTCACCAAGCGAATTCCAAGCACTCGGGAACTCTAGACCAAGGCGCGCAGTTCTACAATGTCTCCCAGCATGGGCTAGTTAAGGCATTATTATCTCATTTGTACGTTATAAGAAGTATATTACTGTCTCAGGGAAAACCCCTAGTGCAAGTTTGTAGCTGTTGGAAGCGGCCTTGGGAAGACGTATCGCAAGACGAGACCGTCACAACACCAAGCTTGGCAGCAGAAAAAATGCCAAGGCTATGTGAACCTCGCTCGCGTTTTGCGTCTCTTTCCTTACATGTAATCGAAGGCAAGGCTTGCAATTGCATGATATGGCAACAGATAGATTTTTGTTTTAAACTGATCATTAGGTAGACTGACTGACATAATTAGGTAGACTGACCTAACAAACAATATATCACTTTGTTCACATACCAGAAATTATGAAGAGAAATTACATGTTGTCTAATAATAAAATTCATGTTGATAACTATCCCCCAAACTTTATAGTCAATCATTGCATAGATAAAGGAAAAATATAAATTTAACCGACATAAATAAACAGCAATTAGCATCAATAATTTGAAAAAAATATAACTCAGTACTCACTGCAGTGAGTGATAGAGAGCTCTTTTTCTCGTCGACGAAAACGTGAAGTCACGGACGGACAGACAAACGGACATGGCAAGCACAATAGTGCATTTTTTCCATAAATGAGAAAATGCGCTAAAAATACATCAAATACCGCAATAGCGAACGACCATAACGGGAAATAAAAAATCCAAATAAATTTCATTTTATTAAAAACGAGCGGAAGTTTTAGAACATCAACAGCTTATTTTGATTCCGCGCAGAATGGTAGATTAGCCTTTACGTTAAATTGGATAACTGGACATGACCTATATCATGTCCAGTTATCACCTGGTTCATGACCTATATGGTATGTTCATGGTATATACCATACCAGTTCATGGTATATGGTATGGTCCGCTGAATGAGTAACGCCGCACTATCGTACAACTTCTTTATTAGGCAACTTATTACAATTGCCTAAATCAAATTTTAACTATACCATCAACTAATGCCCGAAAAGAAAATAACTTTAGAAAGCATATCGAAGCTTAGTTCGTCAATTTCAACATTACTACAATTTATCGGAATAATTAGGCCTACTTTACGGAGTTTCTTCAGATATTTTTAATCACAAGCAACAATATGCTATTGCCGCACCAACAAAATTCAGATCTCAAAAGAACGCACAGCCTAATATTCATAAAAATGAATAAAAGAATTGAAACTTACCATAAACGAATATTACTTGCAATTTTAATTGAGAGATCTCATCGCTCATAAGCAGCCAGGCAACACATATTATTCTAGAATATATGTCATCTATGAAAGTGTGTAAGAAAAACGTTTGTCTACCAGGTACCACATTTAGAAGCGAGCCAAGCTTGATACGACTTAGCTAAGCGGATATCAAACATTTCAGGAACAGCACAGTGCGTGCGTTAGCAGACGCAAAATACATTTTAAGAATCATCTATGATTGCGGATATACGAGTTGACAAAAAATATTCTATATTCTGGGAACTAATATTTATGATGAACAAAACTGCCATTATAAGTATTTAGAAATTCACGATGAAAAATAGAAGTTACCCAATCAGCGACTTTAAAGAAACCATATGCATCGTAATTTAACAATGTTCGATATTGGCAGTATAAGCAAACTATCACACGCAGACTGAGCACTAAGGCACATTATTTATTACAAAAATGTTAATAGATTCAGCACTTTAAACTGCAAGGAACAAGGGTGTCGGTGTTTAAAGAAGCGAACGGAAACTATCAAGTTTCGATTCATTCACGCTTCTATTTTTTATAACTTTAAGCTGTATAAAAAGTGAAAACTCTACGCACTATCCTAAAAAACTAAGGCCTCGCTACGTCCTTTCAGTGGTACCGATCACAACTCATGACAAGTTATGTGTCATGTCAATAAATTCACGTCAAACGCTTCGTTACCTATATTTAGGCATTCCGATCCCAACAAAATGCACTCAAATACTTGACTTTTTACTTTATAGAAAATAAATTCCCCAAGATAGCAACTAGAAATAGTTGACTAAACATAATTCACAATGCCAATGGGCTCATAAACTTTGCAAGGCGCATTTATAAATACCTGTAGTAGGAGTTCAGTTCAGTGGCAACGAATCAAGGGCAAACAGTCCTAATCAAGAAGATGAAACAAAATTATACAAATCCCTTGATTAAATTAAATTAAACATCTGAAACGAAGCACTGAAAAATTCCAATCTTCAACAGAAATATTACCTTGCTTTCAAATACATAGGCATAAGAGGCTTTCCTAAAATAATAACGTTTCTAAAAAAAATTCCACATAACGGTGCACACTCAACAAAGAGGACGTTCTACTTCAAATTTTAACTTGAGTTCATTAACAACTTTTCTTTGGAATACTTTAACAAATGCCATTATCAGTAGCTTTTTTGTTATTTTCCTTGTCAGTCATCAGCTATCCAGACAAACTTACATATAAAACGAGTACAAGAATAGTAGCTTCCAATCAAAAAATACCTATGCTCCTTACGCATACATACATAATACAGTAAGTCAGTAACTTTTCTGATCCAACATTGTGTTCTCTCAAACATTAAAACTGAGAGCGGAATTATAATTTCCTTGCACAGTCAAGCAATGTGTAACTAACTAGAAGATGTGGATTTAACAGTTGACTCGTCGGTTACTTGCAAAGAACTAAGACGGTCAACAATTTGAGACTCCGTAGTGTTTGACATTTCTTTCAGGGTAGATGCCGAATCAGCTGTCTTCGACTTCTCTGGGAGTTCAGATTTGGGTTTCTCCATCTGCTTGCCTGATTCTTGTTTTTCAGGACATGAATTCTCCTTGTCAGTCTTCACGCCATCGTTCAAGTTTTTGGTAGTTTCCTCTCCATCGTCAGGGAAACCATCCATTATTGTAGACACAACATAAGCCACGGCATCTTCAAATGCTTCCTTGAACAGCCGAGCATCTTTAAAGGGAGCAATCAAAAATTCAATGTTAACCAATGTACAAGGAATGTTGAAGAAATTAAATCAAAATTGATCTCACAGTAGACCCAATTAAAATTTACTGAGCAACATACAAGGTTTTTAAAAGTAACATCTATTTGTTCAAACTTATTCATTTCATGATTGTCAACTTTGCGATATCCTCATTCGAATCTTTTCTGGAGTGTACCTCATGTGAGCAGTTTTCCAATAAACAAAGAATATACCTACATATCATTTAGGTATAGGGGCAAATTGCTCACAAAATCTCAATTTAATACTTCAGGTAATTTGATACTCACTTTCGGCATTTGCAAACCGAATTGCAAACATTTCACTTTTGGCTTCTTCATCAGCGAAGTCAAACATGACATACCAGACGAAGGCTCTGTCACTGCCACAGTTGGGATGTAGCTTCATGTAAGGCGTGATGTAGTGGTTTGCCCGCACCTTCAGGGTCTTTTCTTGCCTCATCAACAGGCGAACCTGATACAATGACAACAATATTAACACAAATCCATAAATAACCAATCACATTTGCTATATGAAAATATTCCGCAGTTACTAATAGGAAATTAATTTCAACTGATACTTGAAGAATTCACATTGGAAAGAAAATCTGAATAACTTTCACCAAAAGATCTAAAACTCTCTATTTCAAAATTTTGATGAGATTTTCTCAGAAGCAAACAAATATAGATATAAAAATCATCAATTGCCAGCCAGTTGAGAAATCAAAATGGCCTATGTCACATGCAATGTCTTGTTCAACAAATTCAATTACAATAAAACTGAAAAAGGAAATGCATATCTCAATCATAAGTATAAATTGAGTAACATTAATAAAAATTAGAAATTTAAATTTTATGATTTGCTTTCTCCATAGATGACAATAAAATTTACCTACAGTTGAGTAACAAATAATAATGGAGAAAGGTATACAATTAAAAGATTTACCTAAATGAAAAATTTCAACTTACTGTTGTCTTTTCCTCGTGCTTCAGCAGCTTAACATTACCAGTACCTCGCTCTTTCCATTCACCTCCATTTTCAGCATCACTCACATAACGAAATAGTTTGCATCTCCTAGAAAAATTTAATAATATTCCATCAATGTTATACTTAATGTAAAAAATTAAATTAAGGTTCAACTGTGCATTTAAATCATTTGCAGAAAATGAAATTGTTTGGCAAATAAAGGTTTAATTAACATCTAAGTATAGCACAATATGGTGCCAAATAAACTTGGCTTTTTTTTCAAGATGATAACTGTCAAACATTAACTCCAACCTCATAAAGGTGAAATTTAAGATATTACAAAAATAGAGTATCTTATACAACAAAAATAATTAGCAATTTCTGCACATAAATACATTTTTCTTTCATTGGTATATATGTAATATCAAATCTTCATTACAGGAGCACAGCTCGAGTGTAAAATTGTAAATATGTTCCAAAACAATTGCACAGAAATGATTGAAGACAATAACTTTATGCAATGTCAAAGTTAATTCTCACCCTTTATAGATTTCTTCTTCATCTTCCTCAAGTGTTTTGATATCAACCTCAGGCAAAGTGACGACAGGTTCAAAGTAGGGGTCATGTTCACCATTGGTGCTGTCTACGGACACTGTGCTCACATCAGCTACTCCATGGCTGCTCACATCAGCCACACCATGGCTGCTGGTGTCAGCCACTCCATGGCTGCTGGTGTCAGCCACAGCATGGCTGCTGGTGTCAGTCACAGCATGGCTGCTGGTGTCAGCCACATCATGGCTGCTGATTTCAGCCACACCAAGGCTACTGGTGTCAGCAGAGGCACCAGCAGGAGTTTCTACTGCTGGTGAACCTGCATCCTCAGTGCATTCTTCAATAGTCTGAAAATATATTAAAGGCAAGAAAAATTAAAGGACCAAAATGATTCTGGCTTTAAGAAAGAAAAAAAGTATGATAGGTATAGGCAAGGAAACAATCACCTTGGTGTTGCAGCAGTTGGCTGTTAATTGATAGCTAAGTAATTGGCTAGATTAACATTTCACAAGTTCAGATAGGTGATATAGGAATACAGTAGGCTTTGTGGGAAATTGGTTTAGCTAAAAATTCAGAGAACAGTGTGGGAGTGCATCATGCATACAGATAAAGGCTTACAGCATGTTAATATGATTACATGTTTGCAAATACAAAATTTGCAGTATTTTTTACATTTTTAATTGGCTATTATTTTATTTACAATGCAAGAATTTTCAAAAGTAAATATTAGAGATAGCTATTTGAAAAAAGTATCATCAAAGTCTGATGGATAGAGCAAAAGCAGCAACTTTTCCAGACTTGTTTTTTTCCAAGTCTAATAAGTACACCAGTAAAGAATCATGATGACCAGTACTATCATATAGACATTAAATAAAAATCTAAAAAAACCTTGTTTGCCACTATGCCCTGATGGCATAATCATGTAATCTCTCATGTCATTCAATGCTTGGTTTACATTGTTATCTTGTCCAAGATTACAAGAATTAATCTTTATATTTCTCTTTTGAATCAAGTTTTATCATGCTTTTGAAGTTCAAGTTCATGAAGTAAAAATTTTAATAGGTTGTATATTATCAAAGTAAGTATCACAAAGTAAAATACTATTGAATGGAAGGTCGAAAACATACTATTAATTTATTGAAATATTAGAGCTTCAAAGTGCAATATTTTAAATAACTTTGAAAATTTACGGCTCAATTAAAGAATTTCTTAAACAATTAGGTATGAAATAATTGAACAAGCTGGAATCTTGTCATTTTTCTGTCTTCAAAAATGGCAGGAAAAATCTACCTAGCCTAGGCATGGTAGAATGGGGCTATAAAAGGAGGGAGGTAGTAGGAGAAGCAGCTCAGAGCGTGGCGGACAGCGCTGCGTACGGACGTGTGTCAATAATCTGTGAAGGAGTCTCGCGTTGGAGGCTGGGTAATCTGTGACGAAGTCGTGCTGGAAACCGGAGTTACTTTGAAGCCGATACTACCCGACCTGCGAAGATTCTACTGTCCTAATCTTGATTTACCGGCAATCGTTCAACGACTAGTCGTGCTGGAACCCGGAGTTATTTTGAAGCCGATACTACCCGACCTGCGAAGATTCTGCTGTCGAATCTTGATTATCGACAATCGTTCACCGATGAGAAACCTATGTACACCGAGACAGAATTTTATTCCGGAATCTAGTATCTACGGCAAGGAAGAAGGCATCACTCCAAATAACACGCACACCCGGGAACGCGGACCGAAGACTTCCGAATTATAATCTTCGCCGTCACTTAGCCTGGGGAAACTCGCCACCGCTGCGTATCGGCCTCACGTCTCCAAATATCGGTGATGTACTCCGGGAAACTGTTAGAAACTATCTTATAAAAACTGGGTGAATAGGTCGGGATAGGGTTTTATGTGTATTCTGTCTGAGCTACATATTTTTGGTGTGACAGTATAGTACTATATATCGTGTAAACCGTGCTCTGCCGACTGTTCCATTGTATTAGACTAGATCTTTTCCCCCTATAATACAGTAACTATAGAATTTATCTCCATGTGTTGTCATTGCCCCTTTGCTAACTAGTTCGCTGTTTTGACTAAAAGAGAACCGTATTATCATCGTGCCGTTTACCGCCACTCTGGCATAAAGTCAACCTGACCAATTCCTAATTTGTATCAGATGATAGAAAATCGATAAATTAACGTAATCGTTTTAATACGGAAGTTGAAATTCTGATTTAACCTCGTGGCAACGTTAGAAGTGATTAAAGATCTCGAGCAGAGTTCAATATTAGTGAGAATTAGGAAGTCTTTGACTTTATAACAAACCTACAAACCAAAGTTTTATTCAATCACAAGATCCAAAGAGAGACAGTGCATGTCACCCAGTGAGAACATTGAAAAACATGTCAAAGTTGATAGTAGAAATTGCTCTACCAAATAGTGATAAACTGTTTGTGTAGAAAGAATATTATGGTTTGAGACTTTTAAACAAGTCTGTGAATATATTAGAAATCCTTCAAGTATACTTGTATTTGCTGATTTCAAGTGGTAAATAAATTAATAGATGATTAAGTTAAGAGATGGTTTTAGACACATAAAAACTAATTCTGACACAGCTTGGAATTAGACACACACAGCTCGTTCTGAGCTGTGTGCAAAAATTAAAATTTTCCTAATCAAAAGCTTAATAGCTCTTAATTAATAGCCTAATTAAGTAGTGTTCAATAATCAATATTCAATAGTGTTCTAATTCCAAGCTGTGTCGTATTCCAATACAGCTCACACAGCAATCGGAATTTGAACACAAGATGGTTGGAATAACGAATTAGTAGAGTTTGAAGCGCAGCCGGAATTAGTCTCACTCACTCTCACAAAATGCCAAATTTAGTCACACACAGCGTCAGAATATATGGATTTGGTAGGTTTGCATTCTAAAGGCTTTTAAAAGGAAGTGATAAATTTTAAATTTTCTAGCTAGGTTGATGCAACTTTAGAGCAGCAATATTTCTAACTTTGAAAATCAAAACAAAGCATCCAAGTTCCACTCATGACTGTCTCATGTGAATGAAGAAATATTTTAAAGCAAAGTGCAAACAGGAGTCAGTGGACTAGGGCTACAGGTCCTTTATCAGAAAATTTGAGAGAAAAATAAGGTGAATCTTTCTATTAGAAATATAATGCATACCTATATTATATAGATATAAACAGAACAAAGCTTTAATGATTTTTTCATTGCAAATGAAGCCTTTTTAATTATAATCTTATTATAAATCTCAAGTTTTGATAGTTCAAATGGAGAGAAAGGAATCACAACATCAAACGATTTGAAGCATGACATTTCCACCAACAAAGGAATTTCAGAAATTCAGATTCAGGGTTAAAAAAAAACGATTACGATGCCGAAACCAAACAACTATTGGACTTAATTTTTCAGAAATCCTGATAATTCCTTAGAATATCACCAGAAACCCATTTTAAAGAGCAAGTTTTTACTTTCTCACCTTTTCAGGAGTCATCGTAGAAGCTGATCAAATTTGAACCCTCAGCACCACGCCAAACCAGCGCGCACACTACAAGCTCAAAAACAAATGTTATGGACAAAGCGGTCCTCTGAGAAACTTATTTTTGACTTACTGGTAAGGCTGGCCGTTTGGAATGTAATTTGAAACTTACAAAATGCTATACACGTATTCTATCCCATCATTTCCATTTAAACCATACAAATGATAAGTTTTAAATCATTGGTAACAGTAACGTGGCATTTGTACCTCATTTTTTTATATATTTGACGTGTAATTCGTATACAAATGTGAATGTTTAGCAAAGAATATTTTTTTCAAACTGAAATTTAAAGTTTTTTTTAAGCTGAAATTTAAAAACGAGCATCGTACTTGTGGGTTTGAAAATATGTTTAATCGTATTTAAATTCAAAGAACGAAAACAAATACACAATACGTGAGGTATCTCAACCTGAGTAAGAACAAAGTCTAAGCAGGAAATTGCATTTAGTGCCCATACAAATAATATTTTTTGCTAATGGTCGCAACATCTTTTCCTGTTTGAGTTCGACCGGAAGGTATTGGCGCGAGCACGTTGAAGCAGAGTGCCCGCATGAATTCAGTGTGGGTGCGGGTTGGACTGCGAAGGGGGGAAAGGGAGGAGAAGAGCCAAGCAGAGGCTAGCCGCACCGCTGCGGCAGTCATCTCAGTTACGTTCCAACGTGTGTGTAGTGTGCTGTCGGTGTGTTCGTGATGTGGCAAATGAAGTTGTGTCTGTGGGCGTGGGTGTCTATCCTTGACTGTCAAGGCACTAACATACATAAATTCTATTATATTCCTCCCTAATTAGGTTTTACATGATTTTTAAATGTCTAATATGAGATTAATTTCATCATTTTACTGGAAATCAGGGACTAGCTACAATGCCAGGTTTAAAGGGCCAGCCTTGAACGATAGGTGTCACCAGAAATGTTTCTGTGTGTCACTTCTATGTTCAAATAGTATGGAGTTGATAGGAAGTTTCAAATTTCTGTAAACTAAACAAAAAACAGTAATAAAATTACCCGGTTCATGAAATAGTAATTCAGGATTTCTCTTAAGCTTGAAATTTCGCCAGTTAAATTTCGACTGCACGGTGTGAAGTTCTTAACCGTTATCGTACTACAGTTGAACAAAGGTTGAGCAAGCGGTGGCCGGTGAGACTATTTTAAATTCTTATCAGGTTGATCTTTGCTCCCTGATTTCATAAATCTCCCCAAATATTTTCATTTTGCGTTTTAGTCGTCCACCGGCTCTTTAGGTGGCTGATTTTGACCCCCTATAAACCATGCACATTTTTCACTGTGGTGACATAGGGGAAGTGTTAGGATTACCACCCCCGCGTGTCGTGGTGTGCAGCGTGACTGTGGTAAACACGACTCCCCCTCAGTTTACGGCTCACTGTAGAATTGGACAAAGAAATATGGAGTTCTGTGTATAAAAAATATACTTGCAATGAGCTACGAATTCAACGTGAAGAAAGTGACGGGTTGCGTATCCAACGTGAAGAAATTAGTGACGAATTACACGTAAAAGAGTTGCAAATTCAACTTAAAAAAGTAATAAGTTGCTAATTCATCTTGAAAGAACGCATTCATATAGCAGTATCGTTTATACACATTCTAAATGTATTGTTGCGCCAATAAATTTTATTTAGAACTCAGGTCAAAACAGGAAAAGTTGGACTTTGTTTTACTGCGTCATTTATAAATAGGCCTCAGTTGCTACCGATTACAGTATGTATAATGTTTGATTGTTTCTCTCTGTCACCGTTATTGGTATGAATATAATTGTTAGATGTTTTAAAGTTATTACTTATTCTTCAACAGAAGCCATGATCTGCGTGCTCAAGCTTCCAATTGACGTGTGATTGTGGCTTAAAAAAGAAAGAAAATGTAAAATGTATTCAATTACTCTATGATTTCTAAGAGCATTATAGAGGATTAAGGAGCACTCAAGTTTTTAATTTTTCATTACACATGCTTGCGGATTTCCAGTTAGTAGTAATTCAGACCGGAAAATGGGCTTGGAAGGAGCCTGTTATAGCATCGTGAAATAGACTTGCTTCTGTCGAATAATTATTGGTTACACTATTGCTTGATAATAAGTATTTATGTTGTATCCGATGCTTTGCCCAATTACACCAGCCTTACCCTAAGTTTCAATGGGAAAGGGATTTAATTAACTTGAAAGAGGGTTAAGTCAGGTAGTTAGGACTGTATTATTGTATTGGCTTCTGAAGAACCGGATCTTCTTTTTGCCGACGTTCGACCTTTAGCTTGCACGTTAGTCGTTCCCGTTACACACTGTCATGTTCCGTTACACCTTATGCCTGTTCTATCACTCGTATGACTCGACTGTTGCTCAATTAGTTAGTCTGTTTATTAAACTTTCAGCATATTTTTTCCATGTTAATCCGTTCCTTCGTACATAAAACTTCCATTACACGTTGACCTGCTGCTTCACACGTTGGCCTGTTGCTTCACACCTTGGCCTGTTGCTTCACACGTTAACCTGTTGCTTCACACGTTGGCCTATTGCTTCACACGTTGGCCTGTTGCTTCACACGTTGGCCTGTTGCTTCATTAACCCTAAGTTCATAAGAAAAAATCATCATGCTATTTCTCCATCACAGTCACTATCAAGATGGTAAGATAATGAAAGTGTATGCGGGCTGTTCATCGGAGATAGTCAGGTTTGTCTGAAACTGAAGTGCATATCACCATTATTATTTGTATGAGCTTCAGGCGCAGTATGAGTCGCAGCATGAAATCATGCTTTAATGTCTGTACATGGCATCACTAATCCACTATGACGGCATCGTAAACAATAGAATCCATTGTTGCGCATGGATGTTGGCCAATTGTAGCTTTCTCTTCGTCGCAGAGCTCAAATTTTTGTTGCTGCACGTCTCGAATACAATTCTAGGGTTTATGTTTCGATTTTGCGTTAAATTGAAGTCAAAATGCATTGTCAAAATGTGTGGTCGCGTTTTGGCCTACTGGTGATTCTGGCTGCGAGGTGTTTATAGGTTTTCGTTTCGCCTTTGAAAGAAAGTACTCAACAAATCAGGATCTAACGTTCAAAGTACTTTTATCACCCATCAAACGTTCAAGGTACTTTCATCATCCTTCAGAATCAAACGTTCAAAGTACTCTCATCATCCATCAAACGTTCAGAGTACTTACATCATCCATCGAACGTTCAAAGTACTTTCCTAATTCATCAAACGTGCAAAGTACTTTCATCATCTATCAAACGTTCAATAAACGCTATAGGTAATTATATAATATAGGGTGATTTTTAATCTCTAGCCGTTTGGTTCATGATAAAGATTGCATTGCAATGAGACTGCACTTACTAAGCGAGTCACAGCCTGTGCATTGACGCTTGTTAAGTTTTTCTTAATTACGAGTACAGCAGTAATACATATATGAATGTAAAATTCTAAGAATCTTCTGCTTTGAAAGGAACGTTGTTAGCGAGTAATATCATTCTAAATTGATACTCATTATTTTGTGATCTCTATTTTTATATTCACGTTTAGACTTTCCCGTTTTCATCTTTTTCGAGGTTCATTCATTCCATTTATAGATTATATATTAAATGTTATTCATTCCATGGCTGGTGTGGACTGGAACACGAGACACAACTTAATTGTAAATAACCTCTGTGTACTATACACGTGTAAAACTGCAGTGTATGTTCCAGGAGCCTGACCTCAATGCTTGACAATACTTGAGTGATTTACACGAGTGATATGAACACGTTGCAGTCCCTCAGCAACTTTAGTATGTCATCGTGCAGTGTTCACGTTATTATTTCATTGATATTGTACACTAAAATGAAGAATTGATTAGCTATAGACTGTGAGTGAATTAATATTAAAAAAACAATGCCTATAACCACCACATTAAATAATTCTGTTACTTTCTATCGCATGTCATTGCTTGCCTGCATTATGTCCCCTGATTCGTATAAGTATTAATTATTTTCTCAAAGAGTTGTTTCTTTTAATTATTTATTTATTTATTTCTCTAGTGTATTTCTCTAGTGTACGTGCCATGCCTAGTGCTGACTCAGGCCTTATCGCGTGTTATCGATTATCTTATCATCGCCGAGACGCACTTGGCCTCTACTTTTATTTAATATTATAGAGAAGTTGTTGTCTTCATTAATATTGTAGAGAAGTTGTTGTCTTCATTAATATTATAGAGAAGTTGTTGTCTTCATTAATATTATAGAGAAGTTGTTGTCTTCATTAATATTATAGAGAAGTTGTTGTCTTCATTTGTTTCTCTTCGGTCGAAAAGATATTGGTATCATCATCATGTTTGAGGTTTGAGTTTCGTAGAAAATATCTACCTTAAAATTGTATAACTGTAATAGTCATTCTGTTCATAAATTTTACGCTTAGAATTCTCTAGCATATTTTCTTTTGAGATTTTGAGATTTTTTCAGAGTATGTAGAGTCAACATAATTACAAATTTGAAAAGATTAATTTAATTTAATTTCATATTATTAACTTCATTTAGACATTTTAATTTGCATTTTAAAGTCATTTGCACTATTTTATTAGTTTTTTTAAACAAAACTAAGGGTATATATATTCTCGTAGTGAATAGCTAGAGACTTCAAATTTGGTGGTCGGCTGCAAATAAATTGTTGTATTGTATTCCGTTTTGAATTATTTTTTGAAATATTTCTAATTGACTTGAAATTAAATATTTCTACTCCATTTGGAAAAGAAAAGATGGGAAAAATTCACGATTATAAAATTTGATATGTTTTATCCCATTATCAATGGCGCCTTTAGAAAGGAAAACGGATATTTTTTCCTCATTGCTAGTATCTAGAAGCAATAATGGCAAGAAAACTCTGAAAAATTCGTAGGCCGAATGAATTGTTGAACACTATTGAACACTTTCAAATAGTGTTCAATAGTGTTTAATAGTGTTCAATAGCCACTATTGAACACTATTGAACACTATGGCAGAGTTCCTTACCTTCAGAACGAGCAGAGAGCGGACGTAG